GTCATCACAGTGGTGGGAGAGTACTACGGCCAACGGGACTTGTTGCAGGCGCGCGAGTTCTGGAGGGAAGTGACGGAGTGAAGATGATCTAATTTGCATTTATTCTCGAGATACCCTGTTGCAATTTGGTATTTCATTTATGGTTGTTTCAATGGACTATCCATGATATCCTCATACTCATCCAAATGCGGCCGATGATCGCCGGCCACTAAATTAGCATTTGCCAAACACAACAAACATACCCGGCAGAATTAGACCCATTATCGTCATCGCTTCATCTCCACCGCTTCCTTATCTTCACTTCACCACCACTGCTCAGTTCAAGTGTTCACTCATACCTCCACCAAGTTATGTTTCCATCTCACCAACCACCGCTTTAAGATTCACTGCATACAATCCACCATGGCCCCGTCAGTAGAGATCGCCATCCCGACGACCAGCATCTCCACCACCTCCCCGCCCTTCACCATCTACAACATCACCCTCCGCCTCCCCCTCCGCTCCTTCACCATCTCCAAACGCTACTCCGACTTCACCACCTTCCACACCACCCTCCTGAACCAAACCAACGCCGCGCCCCCGGCGCCCCTGCCCCCGAAATCCTGGCTCTCCTCGACCGTCAAGAACGCCACCCTCCGCGAATCCCGCCGCGAAGGCCTAGAAACCTACCTCCGCGCCATCAACGAATCCGACGACCCGCGCTGGCGCAACTCGCCCGCCTGGCGCGCATTCCTCAACCTTCCAAGCCTGGGCCCCAACTCCACACACAACGACCACCACAGCAGCAGCAGCACGACGAGCGCGCGGCTGCACGCCGCCATCACGGACCCCGGCAGCATCACCTCCATCAACGGCGATTCGACGACCAACACCATCACAGACCCGACCCTATGGCTCGACTGCTTCCGGGACATGAAGGGCCACCTGCACGACGCGCGGCTGCACCTGACGCGGCGCGACCAGGAGACCACGCCGCAGCGACAGCACGAGAGCTCGGCGCGGGCGAAGACCAGTCTGGTGCGCGCGGGGTCGCTGATCGGGGCGCTGGAGGCGGGCCTCAAGAACTTCGCCTCGTCCTCCACCGCTAACTCCTCCTCCGGTGAAGGTCTTCCCCGTCTCGGCGACGGGGAGATCCGCCGCCGCCGCGACCTGCTCATCAACGCACGCAAAGAAAAAGACGGGCTGGAGGATCTGCTGAATGCGATGGCCGCCAAGAGCCGCATCGATTCCGCGGTGGCGTCTCTCGCGGACAAGGAGGCGCTGATGGATATTCCCGCCAAAGGGAAGAAGGCGGTGCGGGCGGCGGGCCGCGTGCTTGGCCGGGAGACGGAGCGCACCCGCGAGCTGGATAATTCGGGGGTGTTGCAGCTGCAGAAACAGATGATGCAGGATCAGGATGGGGCGGTGGAGGAGTTGATGCGTATTGTGCATCGACAGAAGGAGCTGGGGGTCGCGATTAATAATGAGTTGGTCGTGCAGAATGAGTTGCTGAAGTTGACGGATGAGGATGCTACTAGGTTTGTTTTCCCATTCTTCTGTTTTTTGGGGGTGGGGGGTTGGGTGTTGTGTTTTGGGATGGTCTGCTAATTTTGGGTCTTTAGGTTGGGGGATAAGATCGATATTGGGAAGAAGAGGATTGGGAGGATTTCTTGAGTTGATTTCACTCGTGGTGGTATAGTAATGTGTTATGGTGGGGATGGGTTGCAGAGCTTTGTCTTTTCCACCAGAATCTGGAGCTTTGCATGTGGATACCTTTGCATAGGCATGGTTATCTGTCTCGTCAGTTTTAGCGGATCTTGTTTTTGGTTGTTTTAGTTGTCGTCTTGATAGCGATAACTTTCATCGTCTACTGCACTGTACTAATATAGTAAGCACCCAGCGAGCATGGCATCCATGTGACATATTTGAGGTGAATCTAATTGTTGATTATTCATTCCATCTGCACCGCCCGCCCTAGTTGGCAGCACTCGCAGACATGAATGCTCTGGCCTCTTCCTCCGTGACCTCCGACTGATCCGACTGCGATCGGTCGATCAGCCCCAGCCTACTCCGGCGGATCAACCACCAAAGTTCCCGCCGGTCCCCGCCCAGCCGCTCCTGCAGGACCTTCTCCTTCAACTGCCGCAGGAAGTCGTTGTATAGCGCGGGCTCCTCGTAAGCCAGCAGCTCCTCGCGCATCGTGCCCAGGCCCTCCGTGACGCGGTCGTAGTTGGCATCGCCCAAGCTATGGCGGATCTGATCCTCGAGGATCGCGCTCATCTGCTTCACGGCCTCTTTGATTACCTCAATGTTCTCGGCCTGCGCCACGGTCTGTTTGAACTCCGGGATGGCGTTGTTCGGCGAGATCTTGGCCCGCTTCTCCTGGTGGAGCAGGGCGTCGACGTCCAGCCCCGAGAGGGGTTTCTCGGTCTCGCGCGTGCGTTTGCGGCCCTTGGCTTTGGGGGGTACTGTGATTTATACTGTTGTTAGTGGGATGGGGGTTTTTATTTTTGGGTTGGTGGCAAACCTTTCTTCACGCCGGCGACGGCAATGAGTTTCTCTAGCTGTGGCTGGGATTTCTCGACCAGGTCTTGGGGCGGCTTCGAGAACTTGGTTAGCGTTTCTGACGGTGGGGGGATCGGTTTGTCGGGGTGGATGGCGCGGAAACGGATCGCTGCGTCGGTGCGGTGTAGGATCGGAGAGAAGGAATCCTCGATCGGGAGTGTGTCGACTGGTTCTCTGCGAGAGCGAGCGAGGGGGGAGGGTGTTAGCTTGCAGTATCTAACCTGCCAGGTTTCGGTGGGTGGGCTTACCCGTTCTCATCCGTATCGTTGAGCTCCATGCCCAGCACGTATTTCTCCATTGCATCCATCAGGTCCTCGCTGGGTAGATTGCGATGTTGGGTGACCACTTTGCCGGACACGGTCAGGACCTTGTCGAGCGGCGGGAAGCGATACGTGCGGACGTCCTCCGCAAAGGGCAGCTGCGCTTCCAGGAGACATTCATAGTCGGGCTCGATGGACGGGGCCAGCAGGATGACGATCGGGGGCTTGTTCTCCTTGACGACCAGGCGCGCCACGGCGTAACATTCCAGCTCAAACAGCGCATGGATGAACGAGGACAGCGCCAGCGCGGCTTTGTCGTTCGCGCGCTGCGCGATGATGATGTTTGTCGTCGACATGTGCATGTATCGGTCGTACTGGAAAGCTCCCAGCCATTAGTCTCGCTGGGCATATTTGTGCTGGGCATAGGGTGACGTACACGATCGCTCTGAATGAAGCCTAGCAGCTCCAGCGCTGCAAACGTCTCGAGGGTCGTGATGTTGAGGTCGGTTTCGCTGATATGCACGGCCGTTCGCCCATATTCATAGCCCTTAGCGAGATCGCCTAGCTCCACGTCTCTCTTCCCACCCGGGGCTTCCTCGTCGGGTACCTGATACGCTCGGAGGTTGCGTACAGTCGTCAAAGAGTTGCCATCCGTTGGCTGGGACTCTTGCGCCGCAGCAGCCGCGGTGGCTGAGGATTCGGGTTGTTCCTGGGAAGCGGCGAGGTCGGAGCGTAGCACGAATTGACTTGCCGATGGAGGCTTCGCGGCGTGTGTGCGGAAGTATCGCTCGACGGGGATGCGGAGCGCAGTGTCGTATTCCTCTGGGTTCCCGAGCTGCAGGAACCCTTTGAAGGTTGCGGTCACTCGGACGCTTTTGACTCGCGGGATCTGCAGCTCCGCCACGGCCTGCTCGAGGGTTCCGTAGGCTCCGTCGCAGTCTTCGGCTAGACTTCGCAGGATCGCTTCATTCTCTGCCTGCACCGGTGTCAGTCTGATTGTCCCGCCCTCTGATGCGGGGAATTACCCTTTGCGGATCCTTGTCTTCTTCTTTTACCCCGTAGTCCGGATCATCAAAGTCAGGGCCCCTAGAACGAGGTTAGCACACATCATAGAGGCAGGAGGAGCATCCGCCACGAACAGGATGATGAGTTCGATATTGTCCTCCTTGATTTTTTTTGTGATCTCACTGAGACTATCCGTATTCATCGGTCCTTTGCCGTCGGTGACTAGGACGATTCTGCGTTTGTACTTGAGTTTCTTGCAATGTATGATGATCATTTGGATCGCGAGCACGATGGCAGATATAGCTGAGCTCGTCAGTCAGAGCCTCAGGCCTTTCGATAGATCAGACCAGAGAGTGTGGGAGCATATACCGTCACCCTTGTTGGTTTTACTTGGGACTATCTTCTCACTCAACTCTCGAATATCAGGCATGAGGAACCTGTAATTTGACAGGGTTAGACAAAGGACTTCTTCATCGCATTAGCAGCGCTCACTGTTTAATGCCCGAGAACACGGAGATGTTGGAAAAGTCAGCGTCATCCTCCAAGTCATTAGAGGTGTCTGTTTGAACCATCAGTCTTGTCTGCGTTGGCAACATCGCTTCGTAAGACTCACCGTCGGTTCTGAACCCGATCACGCCGATTCCAGCTGTTTTCCGTCCGGTGGCCACCTGCAAACCATTATGAGTTTATTTCAAGGGTACTTTTGGGAAAATACATACCGTCCCAGTGATACGGTCCCAGACATACTGCATGGCCCATTCGAGATCGGTCACTTCTCGGTCATGGTATCGCTTCCCCATGGACCTCCCCAGATCCACGATATAGACTGTTGCTTCTTTGTCCGCCATGGTTGTGTGGCCACAATTACATGTTTGGATTGGCGAGTAGCGACGAAGCTTTAAGTGCTTTCGGCAGAAGCGTAGGCAGACAAAGTGGTCGAGCTGGTGAACAGGCAGACGCGTGATATTTCCCCTTTGGGACGGAAGCGGAACGCGAAAGCACATGACATCATGCCCGGGGAGGGTGCGTGCTTATTCGGGGATGAGTGCGTGGGGACTGTGTGTTGGCTGGAGGGTGGAGGGTGGAGGTGGAAATAGAGGGGCGGAGGGGCGGTAAGATGAGGGGATGGGGTGGCAATAAGAACAACCGCCCGCGCCCGCCTTAGAATGCATCAGGCAACTTATCTATCTGTATTCCCCGGCCCTTTGAATCCGAGAGCTGCTCTTCAGTACTTACACAACCTATAAGCCTTCCTCTTTCCTCACAAGTGTAGATATTTATCACTTCACACAGCAAGCGACAAAATGGTTGATCCCCGCCCATACCACGTTCTCAGGTTCGTACTTCCGAACCAAGCGAGATGTCTATCCGAAAGATCCGCTAACATAAAGGTCTACAGCTACGGCACCCTGTTGGGCGTGCAGATCTATCAGGTGGGCATACCATGCCAACTACCATAGCCCAACTCAACAAACTGACGAGTGAATCAAGTCCTTCGTGTCGGGAGTCATTGCGTTCAAGGCCCTGCCCCGTCCGCAGTTCGCGCAGCTCCAGACGGCCACGTTCCCCATCTACTTCTCTCTCCAGTCCGCGCTCCCTGTCGTCGTGGCGCTGACAGCCAGCCGGGCGGGACAGCTGCACGGCATCTCCGGTCTTTTGGAAGCTGAGAACCGCGGCACGCTCCTGTCCATGGCCACCGTCGCCATCGCCAGCTTCGTCAACTTGACCGTCCTGCGTCCGATGACGGTCAACGTCATGCGCGAGAGGAAGCACCAGGGTAAGATGTGCAATGTGCAACGATTGATTGTCAGTACCTGACCCCAGGCATTTTTGCTGACGATGGGTGGCAGAAACTCGCGATGGCAAGAAGAGCTATGATCCGGCTCCCCATTCCAAGGAGATGGTCGCTCTCAACAAGAAGTTCGGCCGTCTTCATGGCATCTCCAGCTTGGTTAATCTGGTTTGTCTTGGTGCGACGGTCTACTACGGTGCTGTGCTCGGAAAGCAGTTGGCGTAGTTGTAGTCTGGCTTGTCTGGTTTTCTCAAGGACATTGGGGGGTGAAAAGGGTGGGTGGGGGGGGGGAGAGTTGAAATCATTCCAAGGCTAGGGTAGAGGTGGGTGAATGCAAGCGTTGATGCTTCAACCGAGGTTAAATGGACAATGGCAAATCCATGGTGAGAGTAATGGTGTATCTATCTGTGGTTAGTCATAAGGAACTAATATTATATATCTCTCTGGTACACAGTATCATAAATCTATTGACATCATTTTTCGTTTTGACTTATTCTATTACTCAACTAGTCCAACAAAATGTTCTTAACCAAGCGACACAGAACCATGTGATGTAATTACACCAGTTCATTCTGGAAGGTGTAGGCCTCCCACGGGGGCTTTGTTGGAAAAGGACCTGGTTTGGTTTCGAGCTGGATGCAAGCCAGACGAGATATGCGACACTCGTGGCGGCAGCAAGAAGGCGTTTCAGGGCGGGAGAAGGGCACCTAAAAGAGTGCTCAAAAGGTGTCAATCGGGATTGCTATTCAACAAATCTCAAAGATTGTCAAAGCTCCTGTCCTTTAGTGTTGTTGTCATCTTGTTTCTGTGCTTCCGACCGCCCTGTATACCAGCTTCTGTGTATTCGAACGCCTAAACATTCATGTATTTGATTGTTAGAACGGCATCGCATCCATACAACGATAAAGCACATATATTCGAGATCAAAATGCCGCCTTTTCGACATGCACAATCGTATCCTGCCCCAGGGTATCATGTTCCTATACTTCCCCCCAATCTATGCCCACAGACCAAAAGCAATTCCAGTGATGCGCCCATACAGCCACCGGTTCAGTTAGGAAGGTACTTGCGAATGGCATCCTTGAGCGCGCTGATGCGCCGGTTGGTATGCACAAAGTACTCGCGGTACATATCCAGACTCTCCTGCACGACCTCCTGCCGCACCCGCGATCCCGCGCAAATCTCGCGCATGCGGGTTTCCATCTCCTTCCGGAGGAACGGCTTACTCAGGGACGGATTATTCGGCATCCCTGCGAAGACATTGTCGTAGCCCTCGACCAGGGCGATGCCCAGCTGCGTGGGGATCAGCTCCTTGACGGCGTTACGGCCGCCGCCGCGCGTGTTGACGGCGACGTAGTGCCGGTCCTTGATCTTGGCGATGTGCTCGGCCATCGTGGCGTCGGTGCCGATGCCGTTGGCGTCCATCAGCGCAATGAGCTCGGGCTCCGTCAGATAGTTCGGGGCCGTGGTCTTGCCGTCGAAGATCTTGGCCTCCGTCGGCTCGAACTGCTCGCCCAGCTGGAAGTTCGGCAGCTGCTGGCTGCTCTCCCACTTGTCGTAGACGTAGACGTCCAGGTAGTTCCGTTCAAGGACGAGCAGGCCCTTGGCGTGGAACATCTCGTCGCCGTATTCGATTTCGATCTCCGTGGACTGGCCTTTGGCGTCTTCGGAGCAGCACGCGAGGAAGCGGCGCACAACGAACTCGTACACTTTTTTCTCGTCGGCGCTGAGGGCGGATGGGGAGACCCAGCAGACGGGGTGGATGGGAGGGTGGGCTTGGTCGTTATGGCGGCCGGCTCGTGGGGTTCGGAAGCCGCCGTCCAAGAGACTGCAATGTCCCTATCAGCAGCGAACATAAAGATAATAACAAGACTGTGAAATTATTGATCTTACTCTCGAGCGTATTGGCCCCAGTTCTGGTCTGGGAATTGCTTCTCGACCAGTTTCTTCAAATCGATGGCCTTGTCGAATTGGTCGGTTTCGGTACGTGGGTAGCTGATGAAACCCTTCGTATAGAGCGCTTCGGCAACCTGACGCTCGTGGTTAGCGGCGCGTAGTCCACTTTGAGAGTTGCTGGTAGTGGCGATACCTTCATGATTGTCTGACTGTCCATGCGAAGGAAGCGACTGCCCATCATTTGCAAATCGACCGTCGTCAACGGCAAGGGCCGCCATTTACTGGTGGGTTTCTGATTGACCTTGGTGACCCTGGCCAGTTTGGCGAGAAGGCACCGCTCGAGCATGATGGTCACGACGGCTCTGTCGAACAGATGCACACGTTTCCACAGGAAGTTCACTTTGATTCCTTCTCGTTGTAACATGACCTTAATGCCCCAGAATGTCTCAGGTTTGAAGTTCTTCACTCGTAAATAGCGATCAACTACAAAGCCCAGGGTGGGAAATTGACAGGAACCTACACATCGATCAGCAAGCTCCACCGGCAGAGATCGCACCAAGATGGTCAAATACCATAGCTTACGATGGTATCTTCCAAAGCACTCGATAATGGCTTTAGCTGCAGAGTCAGAAGACGAGTGAAAGCGGCACCGATGCGGAGATCAAGCTCTATTCTCGCGGCCACTGCATTCGCTTGAAGATCGTCAAGCTCTATCAGCGAGCGAGCAGCATCCAGGACGTGGCTGTATGAGCGGGTCAGTCTCGCCTCGCAACCAGTTGAGCGACAACTTACGCTCTCTCGGTATTGCTAAACCTGGCCCGCTTGACGAGGATGCGAGCATTTCCTTCCTTCGCTTGCTTCCGGATCTCGGTTCCAATATGTTCACCTTCTCGATCGCAATCCGTCCAGATGAACAGAGCTTGGCTTTGTCGTGCTTGCTGCTGGATATTCCTTGCAATAGCTGTTTTGTCCTGTCTGACGGATTAGTTCCTCAACATCCGGAGATTCGAGATGATTAGGCTGCGTACGGAAGACACGGCTTCGCGAACAGGAGCCTCGAACAGGGCCCCCGGGGGGCAAGAGAGCCAGCTTTTGTACTCTCGCGCAAACTCCAATTCTGTCAGATGCCCGAGGACGCTGGTCATGGTGACATTGCAATGACCCCACGTGCCCCCGAAGTTGAAATCGAACGAATAGTTCTTCACATATCGATTGCCGGTTACATTGTTCTACATCTACCTCAGCGATACGTTACAATGCCTGTTGGAGGCCACTTACTGTTTGGAATGTGCCTCCAGACAAGTGCTGGGCCACGGCTTTGGCAATGGCAGGCTTCTCGGCCACACATAGGATCCTCGTCATGACAAGAAGTCTGGACCAGGGGAGACAAGATCAGCGAGTCTCCATGATACCTCTGTCTCAAAAGAAATCTCCCCCTGCAAGAATCGCTCGTCGGTCATTCCTCCCTGGAAGCAGAACCGGAACGCGCCGAAAGACACGCGAGAGTCACGGGAAGGAAATCACGGATTGGGACAGTACGGCTTATTGCCTCAGGCAGTAATATAACTCGGATGGCCCAAGCTGCCGATGATATCCGAAAACGGCAAGGTGGCAGCTCTTCCTCCATTGTTTTTCCCTCGATTGTTTAGTCCCTCGCTTTTCCATCCTGCGCTCTCCACTCCCATGTGAGAGCTTCTCCCATCACCCCAGCAGCAACCTCGAATTATCACAAGCTCCAATCTCAATCCCAAGATGGCGCTACCGCTTCCTGATGTCAAGTCGGCCGTGGACTGTGCGTCCTTCAGCCAGACTGTCCTACCCTTCTTGTCGCAGCTTACCACCCTGCCCCAGCAGCTGCAGGTCGCTGCGGCGACCAAGGATGCGACCCTCCTGAAGGAGATCTACCTCACCACCAACCCTCTTATCTCGGCGCTTGGCTTGACCCTGGTGCTATCTGTGCTGCTCGTCATCACCTCTGAGATCAACCGCAATTGGTCCCAGGTTGATCGGTGCTGGAGCATCCTCCCCGCTCTGTACAATGTGCACTTCGCTGTCTGGGCTCGCCTGAGCGGGCTGCAGACCCAGAGCCTGGACACGATCGCCATCTTCACGCTTCTCTGGAGTGTCAGTACCCCTCAAACCTCTCCCTCTTCGTTGTTACTTGTTACTAACATCCACACAGGCCCGTTTGACCTTCAACTACTGGCGCCGGGGCGGCTACTCGATCGGCTCGGAGGACTACCGGTGGAAGATCGTGCGCTCGTGGGTCAACGACAACCGCTTCGTCTTCTTCCTGTTCAACATCACCTTCATCAGCCTGATCCAGCCTCTGCTGCTGCTCCTGATCACCGCCCCGTCCTACAACTTCCTCTGCCTGGCGCAGATCGCGGAGCACCGCTCGTTCGAGCTGCCCGACCTGATCTTCTCGCGCGTCGCCTTCTTCTTTCTCCTCATCGAGTACTTCTCCGACCAGCAGCAGTGGAACTTCCAGACCGCCAAGCATGCGTACCAGCAGACCGCCCGCATCCCGGAGAAGTACAAGGGCGTCTTCACGGAGGAGGACCTGGAGCGCGGCTTCGTGGTCAACGGCCTCTGGTCCGTCTCCCGCCATCCCAACTTCCTCTCCGAGCAGGCCATCTGGCTGACCCTGTACCTGTGGAACTGCTACCGCACCGAGTCATACGTCCAGTGGACCGGCGTCGGCGTCGTCGGCCTGCTGCTCATCTTCCAGGGCAGCGTCCGGCTCACCGAGTCCATCAGCGCCGGCAAGTACCCCGAGTACCGCGAGTACCAGGCGCGCGTGGGCCGGTTCCTTCCTCGGCTGTCTGCCAAGCCCAAGTACAAGGGCAGCGGCAAGAAGAAGGCTCGTCGCCAGGCCACCGAGCAGGTCGAGCAGCCCGTTCAAGAAGAGAAGAAGAGCCAGTAAGACTATATATCTGGCCTTTCGCAGCACTCTTCTGGTTAGAGCCGTAGGTGGACACGTTGTATCAGTATAGACGGCGTAACTATATCTTGGTGTCACATTTTGGAAAGGATATGCTGCTCTTGTTTCTTTTCAAGTACTCAATTCTTTTTCTTCTTTGAGATCCTGTGCGGGGCTAGTTCCTGCGCCTTGGTCTTCTTTCTTCTCTTCTTGGATGTGTTTTTGTCTTATATTTAGCTCAGGGAGCAGCAGGTTTATCTGGCATTCGTGACGGGGGCGGCGTTGAAAAGCATATGTGTATATGGTTGAAAATACAAAACAAGTCAGAGAGGCTCTGGTTGTGGGCAACAACTACCGAAACGATGGTTATCCATAAAAAGTAAGCCATATATTCAAATTAACACAAGTGTATCTATTCTTCATCCATTCGTCGGTCCCTCCGGGCTTTTCCCTCCACGACCTACTCACACCCTCATTCCAAAACCCTTCCCCAGTGGACCACCCCTCGCCTTCGGCAACCAACCTACAAGCCTCGTGCATCCAAAGCTGCGCGCAGCGTCTTCTGGAAGCCAAAGACATGCTCAGGGCTCAGCATGGTATAATGGGCGCCGCCGACATCATGGAAGCGGGGCTGCGAGCGGGTGAAGTCCTCCCACTTGCTCAGCTGCTCCTCGCGCCACTGCTTCTTGGAGGAGGCGACGACGGCCAGCGGGATGCAGTAGAAGACGTCCATGCCGGCGATGGAGCCGGAGGGGTCGTAGTCGATGGCCATGCTCTGCAGCGAGAAGGCCAGACTGGCCCACTTGACGAGCGCGGCCTCGGACAGCGCCAGCTCGCTCAGCCGGGTCTGGTCGGCCTCCTCCATGACGCGGGCCAGCGCGTCGTCGCGCGACGCACCGTCCTGCAACTCGGCGGAGAGCTCGCGCGAGCGCGCCTCGGTGATCAGGTCCAGGAAGTAGGAGAGGTGGAGCAGGCACTCCTTCCAGTCGAGCTGGCGCATGCGCGACTTGATGTGCGGCGGCAGGTTGAAGGAGCCCAGGAAGCGCACCTCGTCGCCGTGGGCCTCGAGCACCTTGCCGACCTCGAAGGCCAGCATCGAGCCGTAACTGTAGCCCGCCAGGGCGTAGGGCCCCTCGGGCTGCTCGCGCTTGATGGCGGCGTGGTAGGTCGCCACGACCTCGGTGATGGTCTCGAAGGGCGTCTCGCCGTCGTTGAAGCCCCGCGCCCGCAGCGCGTACACCGGCCGGTCGACCAGGAACTTGGCCAGGTTCAGGAACACCAGCACCTCGCCGACGCCCGGGTGCACCAGCCACAGCGGGCTCTTGGTGCCCTGGCCCTGCAGCTTGACCACGGGGCTGTACTCGTGCTTCTGCTGGAGGTCGTGCAGGGCGCGGGCGAGGTCGCGCACCGTGCTGTTGGTCATGAGCGTGATCATGGGCAGTTCGGCCGTCAGGTCGAGGTGCTCCTCGATGTTCTTCTTGAGCTTGATCAGCTCGATCGACGTGATGCCCATGTCGAAGATGGGCGTCTGCACGTCGAAGTCGCCCGCGGGCAGGCCCAGGGACGTGGTGAAGATCGAGAGCAGCTGCTGCTCGAGCGCGTCCGTCGGGTCCTTGCGTGTGACCCGCCGGTACAGCTTGACCATCTCCTCGTTGATCTCGAGGTAGGTCTGGTACTCGCCCTTCTCGTAAGCGGTCCTGATCTTGGCCCGTGACAGTTTGCCCAGCGCCGACTTCTGCAGCAGGGACCGGTCGAGCGGCAGGAGCTTCGGCCGGCAGCCCGTCGACATCATCACCACCTTGGACATGGCGTCGGTCGTCTGCACGCGGGCGATCATGTCCTCGGGGGCGTAGGTGGGCAGGTACACGACGATGATCTCCTCCGTGTCTCCGCCGGGCGGGAAGGACGAGAAGCAGCAGTTGAAGCTGCGCGTCAGGCCCGCGATGTTGGCCTCGTCCAGAGCGCTTTCGACCTCGTGCGGGTAGTAGTTCACTCCGTTCACGATCATGGTTTCCTTCGCGCGGCCGACCAGGGTCAGGTTACCGGCCGCGTCGATGACGCCGCGGTCGCCGGTGCGGAACCAGTTGTCCGTGGTGAAGGCGTCAGCCGTCGCTATCGGGTTGTTGAAGTACTCCTTGAACACCACGGGACCCGAAACCTCAAGAGACCCGACCTCTCCTGCTGGCACGGGGTTGTTCTCGCCGTCGGAGATTCGCATGCTGATGCCAGGCATGCAGGACCCCACAGAAGCGAACTCCGATGACCTTCGAACATCGTACCGAGGGAAATCGGTGTTGAAGATGGCTCCAGCGCAGGTCTCTGTCATGCCGAATCCAGGTATGATAGCATTGGGGGAAGCACCATGGTCTTCCAGAAGCTTCGCGACCTCCTCGCAGGTCTTGGTCACGTTGGCCTCTCCACCGGATGCGATGTAGCGGAGACAGCTCAGGTCCCAGTCGTGTTGGACGGAGTCTCCCTGGCTCTTGATGGTAGCGCGGATCTTGCCGAGGAAGAAGTTGGGAGCGAAGGTCCTCGAGACGCGGTGCTTGTGGATCAAGTCAATGAAGGTCGTAGGGTTCGAAAGGACATCGGGAGCCTGGACATGGATCTGGTCCTTTTCCCCGTACATTGCTTGAAGATGGATCTCAATCATCGCGGCAACATGATCCAACCCGATCCAGTTCAAGAATGAGGTTCCCTCTGGCAGATCGACCACCCCGTATTTACCGGCAATAGCTGCCAGAATTTGCCCATGGCTCAGACACACGGCTTTGGAATTTCCCGTGCTCCCCGAGGTGAGCATGAGCACTGCATTATCACTGGAACTTGAATCTCGGCAGATGTCGGAGCTATCTGTTGGCGGAGCATTGTCCACATCGAGTGACTCTACTGCGACTGGGTCGATAGCTTCTTGTCCCCCGAACTCGGGCAAGAGGTCAGCCCGTGTCAGGCATAGGGGGTTGTTGAGCATTTTCGACAGGTGTTCGAGATGTGCGGTGCGGTGGGATGGGTTGTTGGAGAAGGGGATCGACAAGGCTGGAAGGCATCCAACAAAGAGAGCGGCCCAGAACCAGACGATGATATCCCAGTGAGTATTAAAATGAAGCAAAACCACGCTTCCAGGTCGGAAGTCTTCTCTCGAGCGAAGAGCCCAGGATGATTTCAAGGCTAGCATGAATAGCTGACTGTAGGAGAAGACTCTGGGCTCGTGCAGATTGCCCATTGGGTAGGAGACCACATTGCCGCTGCCTTCTTTCGCAGCGACAGTCTCGAGGAGATGTTGTAAGTTTCGAAAAGACATTGTGTCAGTCATGGAGAAGGTGGGTGGGGGAGTGAGGGCATGAGTCTGAGGATAAAACTGAGGGTTAAACAGCTTCACGATACGTTGCGGTGCGTCGCCTTTATAACCCTACTTGCCCAGAATTTGGAGCTCCAAAGAACGCATGATGGACAGTACCATTTGCCTTGTCGCGCTGTCTTGGCTAGAGAGGATCAGACTCTTTTGGCAAATGTGCAGCCGTCCGAGATATGCAAATGAGTTGGCTTTCTTGTTAACAGTGTCGGTTAAGCTACTTTGGTTAAAGCTCATCATCGTGTCTGGACGTACAGTACAGTCATTTGAACACGAGATTGCTCATCCGAACACACGGATCCGAGTCGAGTCCGCATTGACGAAGAAGGTAAGCATTCTGTATCGGGTCCTCAGCGTAGTGGGTGTCAATAAACTTCAATCAAAGACGCATGGTCAATGCCGGCCATCCCGTATGGTTCAAGAGACCGCTTCCGTCACCTGCTCGCCAAGACTCTGACATGAATGGCGCAGTGATGTCGATCCTGCGAGCTGCCATGGAGTACTGGAGCATACTTTGTAGTTGCTTGCCAGTCTGAGCTGCGCTTTGTTGACTGAGACAGTAGTCACCGCCACACCCCGGCTATCGGAGAGATAACGAGCCTAGAGCTGCCCTCAATTGGCTTGATTAAGCTGCCAAACCCAACACCCTTTGTCAGGACACGGCTTCAGCCAGCCCTATACCACCAAGCTGTTCTCATGCTAAAGGAGACTGCCATATTCCATCCGCGGATATGCATGGCGAAGCATCACGGCGATGTGCCGTCGGAGGCTCATCAACATAAGTGGCTATAGCCCGACAAGCGTTCAAGCCAAAAGTCTGGGCAATGCACCGCATGGAGCGAGATGGGTTGAGGCGGTAATCAGCGGAAATGGCGGACAGACGAGGGATTCGAAACGTGACTAGAGTCCCGCATATATCATGGCCTCCCTTGCGCACCGCTCCTCGTTTATGCGGTATCACCATGAGACGCTCCTGTGAATAAGATATGCGCATGTATGCAGCTGCTGGTAGTGGCTTATGATCTGTGACATGACATGAAAGCTCATGATCGAGTGATAACGAGGACGGGATGGTGTCTCCCACGATAGCACTACTCACTTAACCCTGGATCGTCGATCATCGAGCCTTATAACCAACAGTAGTAAATGCACAAACCAACAGACTATGCTGCAGGGTCTCACCTACTTCTGCTAGGTCATAAATTGATGGTGCCCCAAGATGCCAGCGCAGAGGATGGGTGCAGGGTAAACGATTTGCGAGGGGAGGAGAGGAGAGAAGAGAAGAGAAGAGAAGAGAAGAGGAGAAGGTTGACCCCGCCTGACGAAATTTGGACGACACACACACTTCCCCGAAATGCAGATTATAAGAGGCTGGCGACCTCCTCTGAGAAACCCCTCCCTTATCCCTAGCTTAGCCAAACTACACAGTGCGACACTTCTGACATCCAAGATGACAGTCGCACCTAACATGGGCTCCCGAATGGCCTTTATTGGTCTGGGAGAGATGGGCAAAGTAAGAACAATATCCCACCGTCCCATCATCAGCTTAACCTCGAGATCCCTCGACAGAAACTATACTGATAAAGATCATAGGCAATGACTCGCAACCTTCACCGCGATGGAAATCTAACCAGCCCCTTGACCCTCTGGAATCGGACCCAGAGCACCGCGGACGCCCACAGCGCTGACCTCGGAGACTGCAAAGTGGCCGAAACCGTGCAGGAGGCGGTCGAGAACTCCGACATCATCTGGTCCTGCCTGCAGGACCAGTCCGCGGTGGAGCAGGTCTTCGACAATATCTTCGCGGCCGACGTCAACATCACCGGCAAACTGTTCGTCGACAGCTCAACCATCGCTCCGGAATGGTCAAATGCCACAGCCAAACGGGTCATCGAAGCCGGGGGGGAGTTTGTCTCGATGCCAGGTAAGAAGGAAATCGCCCATCTTGCTTACAGAAACTCTGTCTTGTCTCGTTCTCTAATGCTCAGTTGCCGAAAATACCAGTCATGGGCGAGCCTGTGGTAGCAGCAGCCAAGAAACTCATCTGCATCCCAAGCGGGAAGCCCGAATCGGTTGACCGAATCCGACCATATTTGGAGGGCGTGTAAGTTTCTTTTTTTTATTTTCGATAGAGCCCAGTTCCCCCCACTGCAAGGGTTTCTTTGAGGGAACTTGTGTAGCTTATCTGCAATTCTAGGGTGTGTCGGGCGATCGTCGATCTGAGCGGAGAAGAGCCGGGCACTTCGTCCCTGCTGAAGCTGATGGGCAACTTCCTGATCATGACGACGATGGAGACGGTGGCGGAGGTCAATGTCTTTGCCGACAAGTCGGGAATCGGCACCAAGAACATGAACAAGCTGATGGGCGCCATGTTCCCCAACCCGCCGCATGCCATCTACAACCACCGCATGCTGACGGGAGAGTACTACGAAGGCACAGTATGCGCTACCCCTTCAACTATCTTCTCGCATTCATTCACAGCTGACAAACTATGCGTTCTACGCAGCCCATCGTCGAAGTATACAAGGCATTGGCCCTCACAGGCCAGGTGCTGGATATGGCCAAATCGTGCGGCGCCTCCGTCCCCATCTACGAGGTTGCCCGGGAGCACCTGAAGCTAGTGCAGGAGCACGAAGGCCCCAAGGCCGATATCACGGGGATTTATGGCGCTGTCCGGGTGAAGAGTGGACTGCCCTATCGGAATGGCGCCGCGGAGGGGAGCAGCCATGAGAATTAAAAAGTTATCAAAAACTCGGGGGCGGAGGCGGGTGGATGGCGAACATTGGGGAGTACTCCAGCACGGAATTCATGTAATAAGCAGTTCAGAATAAGTTTTCAGTGGCTGGCCACTAGGGACTGCAGCCTACGTGTCGAATTACCCATTTCTATCTGTGGACACTGGACAGTAACTTTGGTCGAGGGTCGATGCATAGGACCTGTCATATGGTCCCTTGGCTATTTTGGGGCTTTCTCGTTGTCGTTCCCGTGTTGTTGCCTGCTACTACTCCGTATCTCAAGAAAGAATGCACGTCGGGTGCAGGATATTGCCGACAACACCACTCCAATGGTATGAGTCAAGCGTTGGGCGTAGACTCGGCTTGCACCACTGTTTCCTTTTCCTTTCTCTTTTAGCACAGGGTGGTTTTGTGACTTGGTGTTTCACTATGAGTCACACCGCCAGATCTCCGGATCCATTGCACCAATGTCTTACGATTGAGGTTTGTAGCGAAAAGAGTCAACAGTATACTGATCACCTACTATACATACATACATACACGACACGACACATCATACACGAGACACACTCCCCATTGCTCAGGACCGAGGGAGGGCATCCACCAGCGTGGATGAGGAAGGGGGAAAGCCATCTAAGACAAGGTCACTTCTGTACCAGATGAAGGTAAAGGAGAAAGGTCGGAAGTGGAGGGGGCGTAGCGTGCGCTTGAGGTAAGAAAGCACGAAGCTTGGTATTTATGGGCGTGGCCGACCACTGTTGATACAGGAGGGAAAAGGTAGATTTGAAGGAGTGTGGGATGCATTGAGCCCCCTCCAGAAAACGATTTTAAAGAAGATTGAAAGGAGATGCTCCGTGACTGGAAAATCAAGAAAAATAGATACAAGGCCTAAACAAGATGGAAGGAATCGAGAAGGAAATAGAAAGAAAAATAAAAAGCGATGTATGTTCCCCTCATCAGCCATGAAAGTATTCCCTGCGCCAAATAGACACACAAATAGAAAAGCGACGAACGGTTACAACCAGATAGAAAACCTGTGGTAGGAACCGGAAGATGGAGTGATAGCGATGGGTCTATGGTGGGAGTGGTGTTGAGTCACGTCCATCCTTTCCTTGGGCGCTGTCGTCCGTCTGCGTCGGTTCGGGGGGAGCAATCGTGGCGCCGGAGCGACCATCGAAGTATTTGGCGAACTCGCCTGAGTCGGGCCATTCCCGCGGGCCCAAAAGACGAATCATATCGTCTCGGCTGAGGACTTCTTTGGCCAGAAGTTCTTCGGCCACGATGCCGACTTCCTTCTTCTTAGCCTCAAGGAGGTCGCGGCATTGCTTGTGTGCCTTGGCGATGATTGAACGGACTTCCATGTCAATATTGCGCGCTGTTTCTTCCGAAAAAGGCTTGTGCATCTGCGATTGAGGGTCCTCTTCGTAGAAGATATAACGAAGACTAGGACTCATGCCATACTTGGTCACCATGGCTGTGGCCATCCTAGTTACTTTGTTGAAATCGTCACTGGCGCCAGTGGTGATGGTATCGAAGTGCAGTTCTTCGCTGACACGGCCACCAAGCGTCATGGCCATACGGTCCATCATCTGCTTCTCGTTCATCAAGTAGGTATCACCGTTGGAAGGTAAGTACTGGGCGTAGCCCAAGGCTCCCTGACCACGGGGGATGATAGAAACCTTGAGAAGAGGATCGGCCCAACGGAAGTACCAGCCACAGATAGCGTGTCCAGCCTCATGGTATGCAACTGTGCGCTTCTCCTCAGGAGAGAGTACAAGTGATTTCTTTTCCAGGCCACCAATTACACGCTCGATCGCCTGCTCGAAGTGCTTCATTGTGATGCTCTCCGCATTTTCACGGGCCGCTGCGCGTAAGAGTTAGCATTGCGCAGAGAATAAAGAGATGGGTGGAGACAAACCAACGAGTGCCGCTTCGTTCACACAATTCGCGATGTCAGCACCGGCAAATCCAGGGGTCAAGGCCGCAAGTCGCCCTTTCAAGTATTCGATATCCTCATTGGTCACGATTTTCTTCAGATAAACGGCAAAAATCTGCTTGCGACCATCCATGGTAGGTCTGTCGATGGAAATATGTCGGTCGAATCGACCAGGACGCATCAAAGCCTTGTCCAAAATGTCGGGTCGGTTCGTACCAGCCAACACGACCACTTGATCAGTAGTGTTGAAACCATCCATTTCGGTAAGAATTTGGTTCAAAGTACTCTCGCGCTCATCATTTCCACCACCCATCTGGTTCTTGGAACGTGATTTGCCGATGGCGTCGATCTCGTCGATGAAGATGATGCAGGGAGTGTTCTTACGGGCATTGGCAAAGAGGTCGCGCACACGCGAAGGACCGACACCAACAAACATTTCAACGAATTCAGAGCCGCTGACGCTGAAGAAAGGAACACCAGATTCACCAGCAGTAGCCTTGGCAAGCAAGGTCTTACCTGTACCAGGAGGGCCCGAAAGAATAGCACCGCGAGGAATCTTGGCTCCCAGCTTTTGAAACTTTTTAGGGTTCTTCAAAAAGCTAACGAACTCCATGATCTCCACTTTCGCTTCGTCCATGCCAGCCACATCAGAAAACTTGATCTTGATGTCCGACTCGTGGTTAAACCGTTTGGCCCGACTTTTGCCAATGCCGAAAATACCGCTCTGGCCACCTCCGCCGCCTGCACGTCTCGACAGGAAAAAGAGACCGCCAAGAAGAAGGACCGTCGGAGCAAAAGACAAAAGTGTAGCCGCTAATGGAACCTCCTCAGAATATTGGACGGGAATCCGCTCCGTGCTTGGAATACCAAGTTCCTCCTGCGCTGCATCAAGTTTCCGTTCAAAGCTGTCGACAGAACCGATGCTGAAGAAATAGTAGAAGCTGCCGTTCTGAGCAGGCGAGCCGGGATATACGGTGGCAGCCGCATCCCGATCCAGGTAAACTCGCACTCGGTTGTTGTTGATTACAACTAGCTTCTCCACCAAGCCCTTCTCGAGGAAATCCGCCCTAAACTCCTGCCAAGTGATATCCTGTTTGTTCTCTGAAGGGAACAGGCTAGTATAGAACCAGAAGAGAACGAGGGTACCGATCAAGATTGACGGGACATCAAGCTTGATCTCGCTGAACTTCGGTGGTTCGCCATTGGGTTGCTGTCCTTTATCATTTTTCTGCCCGGAAACTTTCCCAGATTTCGCCCGCTTTTCTGCCATTTTTTTCTTTAGATTTTCCAGATGTTCCTTCATTTCTTTAATGTCCACCTTCGTGTATTTGTTGGGGTCTGCGTATTTTTTCAAAAACTCGTCCCGCCTGCCCTGCATCTCTTTCTCCATGGCTTCAAGTTCCGCCTTCGGGTGTTTGGTGGGATCATCTCCCCACTTTTTTCTGAACGCCTCCCGTATGGTTTTGTGCTCTTTTTCAAGAGCCTCAACTTCCTCCAAAAACTTCTGGTGCCGAGGACTAGGAGATTCAGGATCTTCTTTGCTATCGGTAGCTTTCTGTGAAGATCCCTTGTTGGCGTCTGAAGATTGTTGCACATATTCCGCATGCATATCATAGATGTTGCTCACATCCCTGGCGAATTTGATGAATTTCATCATCGACGGAGTCTTCCCTTGGACAACCTGTTCCATGTAAGACCTCATGTCTGGATTTAAGCCGCAGACCATGCACTTTTGTCGCATTTCCTCCACCATTGATTTGGCAGGCTCGAAGTCCATCCGTGTCTTCATCTCCTCGACGAACAGATTGAGCAGCTGCTCGTCTTCGGGTGTGATAGCGTGCTGGGGGGTGTTCTTCGCCTTGGCATTGCCAGATTGACCATCTGTGCCTTCCGTCTTCTTGTTCTGGCCATTCCCGTTGGCTGGCGGCTTCGGACCGTTGTCGCCGGGTTGTTGCGTGGTGTATGTGCGCGCTCGCTGCGCGAGGATCAGGGCCGAGACTCGGGATTGGGGGGCATGCACGGTGAGCGGCCCGGCGCGGAAGACGCTGTCGGCTACTCTCCTCGAGTACCGGGCCAGATTGCCTGGTCGTCGAAGCAAGGAAGCCATGATTGTGAAGGGGGAAGGTGAAGGGTATCGAAGGCCCGGGAGGGCGACCAGTTTCAGATGGGTGGCGCGATAGGGCGTACGTGGTATTCGATTTACTCGGGTCTCAATGGCACAGGTAAACCAGTAGTAGCCGTGTAAGGCTCGTTTCCAAGAGCACGAGGTGTAGAGGAGAAAAGAGAAGAAGGTGGCGGGGAGGGGGGCGGAGGGAGAGGGGAAGCTCTTTAGTTGGAGCTGAGTTCGTGCCGGAACGAACGATCGTCTTCCCGCCGAAGAGGTCATCTCGCTCGGTCGTTTTTCGCCGTTCCGTTGAACCAGCTGAGTCATCAGACTCCCACCGCCTTTCTGCATTAGTGATTTGAGGGCCGGCCAGAATCCTTAGGAATCTGGTGGACTCCGTCATTGATATGTTGGCTCTGGATACGCTGTAGTCTTAGACACCGCTGCGACTGGAAACACGGTCATTGACCTAGGATAATTTTGAGGGTCAGAAATTTAGTCGAACTGAAATTTCAGAGTCTGACACTGATTGTGTAGTCAATCCTCAAAACACATACAGAATGAGTAAAGTGCAACCGCAGCCAATCTACTGTCTTTCACCGGAGACTCTATTTAATGCTCAGAGCCACCGCTGCTGTATGAGTTGACAAATTCATCAATATCTCTATATGATTAGGCCCATATAATGACAGCGAAAGAAATATAACGGGTGAACATGAAAGTTCATGACACAAGAGAAACCACTGGGATACTTTTTGACAAAGCAAAATGCTTAACATTGAACAAAACCCAACTCCATTCATAACCTCAAGGTATCGAACCCGACCGGGCAGCCGGGGAGAAAGAAACGTAAGAACCCAAAAAGACCCTTTAGTCGAGATCCATTTCCTCCTGCGTAGTTCCGTCCACCAAGATTCTGGTCCTCTTTCCTGTTCTGATGCGCTCCTCGCCGTGCAGTCTGGTCTTGCCCGTGTCCAGAGCGGCCAGCTGGCCCTCCTCGCGCTCGCGCAGCTCCTTGCGGATGAGGTGCTCGCCGGAGGCCACCACCTTGCGGTCCTCCTCGCGCTTGCGGTCCCGCGCAAGCTTGCCTGCCAACCGACGCTTGGTGAAGACCCGCTCTCTGCGCTGCCGGATCTCCTCCACTCTCTCCATGGCCTTGATGGTAGCGGCCACCAGGTTTCTGTCGTACTTGACGGGGACGTTGCGCTTCTTGGCGAACTGGGACAGGACGAGGGAGGAGTCGACAATCATCTCCTTGCCCTTGGCGGCACGACCGACCTTGGTCCACTTCACACGTCTCGGTTGTCGCTTAGCCTTGAAGTTCTGGTGGGTAATGGGGGTGTCAGTTTCGTTCTGAGATGATGCACCCACGAAAGCGTGAGGGGAAGGAGGGGACTTATCATTTGCTTCTGCAGAAACGGAACGCCTTGGCGTCATTGCGGACGAACTGAATACCCTTGCTAGGGTAGACCGGGCGAGAGCAGAAGTGGCAGGTTTCGACTCTATCGGGGTCGTTCGTCAGAAAAAAAAAGAGTCACAGCAGTAGCGATAACGATACTCAAGATAAAGGCAAAACTCACCTCATGATGGGCTATTTTATCGCGTTAAAAGGTCCAACGGCAAATGTGTGATAATGATGGAAATGAAAGTACTGTTGCAGAGTACCACTGGATAATGAATGAGCAGAAGCCGCAGTGAACCTCCTGAATCCCACCGTCGTGTCGAGAAGATATCTGATGTCCAGGACAGGAACCGCCATTCAAAAAATTGAGAAGCGTGGAGCAGCCGGCACTAAACCCAAACGGGGGATGCGGCGACGCTCCGATTTTTTATCTGGACTGCGGCAGCTTCTCCTTCCCCAACGTCACAACTTCGAGATCCCTTTTGCGCCTCCCCAAAGCAACTCATTTTCTGGGCCAACTTCGCTTCAACTGCAAGATGTCTGCTTTTCTCTACGGTGTTGGTATTGCTACCGCTGCCTTTCTGGTACGTCCGAAGTTTATTTCGAGTGGTTGTGGATTGTCAGTGGGCTAACCTTCTCTTCCTCGGTCAGGGTCGCGCGGGCTATGTCGCTCTGCAACGGTCCAGAGGCGGTATGAACGCGGCGGGCAAGGCATTCTACAAGGGGTAAGCTGATTCGGCTTCTGTTGTCGGGCAACGACAGAGCACTAATTGATATGTAGAGGATTTGAACCCCGGATGAACCGCCGCGAAGCGTCTTTGATCCTGGAACTCCCGTACGTCGAAGCTTTCCAGAATACCATATACTGAAGGGCGAGGGTCGTGTCTAACAAACTGTACAGGGAACGCACGATGAACAAGGACAAGGTTCGCAAGAAGCACCGTCAGCTCATGCTGCTCAACCACCCCGATCGTGGTGGCAGCCCCTACTTGGCCACCAAGATCAACGAGGCCAAGGAGTTCCTCGACAAGCAGCTCTAAATTCTCTTTCCGACTGGAGAGTCTTTAGCGAAGCATTTCCACGTCGTGAAAGACGATAGGGTACATTTACGTATCGACCACTGTACAAGAGTTTCTTTCTTCTTTGGGTGCGCATAGCGAGGCGTTGGTGGAGATTTTCCAAACCCGGGAATACATCCCTTGGGTACGCTCCTGATGGAGACTTGTATTTACACTACTACTGTATACTGATGAGATCGCCGCTCTTGAATGTATAGCTATGATTTATTGGCACACATGTGTTTTGGAGCCTAGGCTGAAGCGTTGGCGAGTAGCTCTGCATATGCTTGTCGTATGCCTGTCGTATGGTACCTAAGTAGTATAGACCTCGCTGATCCACCTTGTGTGACATGTGATAGGTCTGGGTAGCGGTAAGTCAGGACAACCTGGGATGTTTGAGCCTCTAATCATAAGATGAGGTCTGTGCCGAGTCAAATGCCAAGGACCGCCAGGGATATTGCAGGATAACAGGTGTCAACAGGTGTCAACAGTCAAACAACAACCCTGCATGCAGAATGGCAGAAACGCATGGATGGATAAAGAAATTAGTCATAGAGAAAGGGAGAAAGTGGAACGGCCACTGGCAGGCATGCAGGCAAGCGGGCGATGGCAGCCAAGGCCGAGAATCACAGCTTCAGTCAGTACTCTAGCCTGTAGAAAAGGTAAAGAGCGGGCTCGGACGGAGAGAAGCCCTTCCATCTTCCGTTACCCACGGAGATTCGGGGTTAACAACTTCCGTCCGTTCTCGTATTCGGACACCCTCATTGAAGCTTGATGCCAGATGATACGATCAGACTTTCATGACAAGATGAAGATCAAAGGAGCTAATGCGGAGTCCTAATACCAGGCTGCCGCCATTATTCTCTAACTAGCTGTTAGACTAAAGGCATAGTCTATAATTATGATTATCAACGTATATTGACAGTGGATGTGATAGCAAGCTATCTCCGTCCGAATGCAATAATCTGTAAGCTTGTGTCTCAACTCTCTTTTTGTCTGTCTGTCAGCTCTCGGGTCAGATTTGAGAATTGATCCGGTCCCATTATTGCTTCGATCCCACAATCAACTCAGTCAAGCTGTCGTCCGTCCTTGCCCGTCCTCCACCCCTGAATATTCTTCTGCCCCTATCATTCTTTCATATCGGAACCTCTTCCTCTCTCCTCTCCGTTGTGAGTCAGTCCGAGAAGAGGAAGGGAAAAATTAGCCCGAGTCGCCACGTGCTTGCAACTTATCGGGGAAAGGAAGTTAAGGGAGCAAGCAGCAAGTGTGGATTACTCAATCCACCCTCAGTGTGTCTGTCCCATCCCGCTAACCAAAACTAAAACCAATTCATTCCTCCCCCAACCAACTTCATCATTGTTCTTCTTCCTGTCCTTAGGGTCCCGTTTCTTTTTCTACTTTATATTTCTTTTTCCTTCAACTCAACCGCTTTCTTGCCTCGGTGGATGCGCAACTTTTTTAGCAAATCTGGTTTCTCGATCGGCTCACCCTAGTCATTCCTTATCGTGAATAATCAACGGTTGGCTTGCATCTGAATTCCATTGACGTCGTCGCCGGGAAACGTAACCCCGCATCCAGCCCATTTCTTTTCGACTCGACTCAATCCATACCCGCTCGGTCTAAAAAACTCCACTCCGTCATAGATCTTCTCCTTGTTACACTCGGGAAATTTTTCCTGTCTTCGCTCCCATCGCAATGGATGGCATCGGGGAAGGCCCCGACGGCATGGGCTTCGACATGCCCATGCTCATGAACCAGCAGCAGCAGTTCTTCGGCGGCTATCCTCACGACACTTCGCCGATCCCCTCCGCGCATCATAATGCGGCGTTTCAGGATGATACCACAATGGGCATGGGTGATGATAGCAATGATGCCAAGAGACGGAGAATCGCAAGGGTGAGTCGCTGATCATGCGATTTGGCGCACAGCACTGGGCCTTCTGGTCGGCAATGGGCTGATCATGCTTTATTCAGGCTTGCGATATGTGTCGAAAGAAGAAAATCAAATGCGATGGCAAGATGCCCAAGTGCTCCCACTGCATCAACTACAAGACCGACTGTGTCTTTACCCAGGTAGAGAAAAAGCGGAATCCGCCCAAAGGGTGAGCGTTCTTCGCCCGGCTGTGCTATCGTCGTCGGTTATGTGCTAACAACGTGGGGTCCTGCAGTGCCAAATATATCGAAGGCTTGGAAAACCGATTAGGGAGGATGGAATCGCTACTACGCCTTTCGGGCCTGCTGTCAGAGGAGGATGGAGGAAAGACTGATCTTGGGACCTTGGAACGACGCCTTGCCGATCGATCTTTGGCGAATGGTGGTCTGAGCCTGCCCAGAAGCCCAGGAAAATTCAATACCTCCAACTCCAACAGCCAGTCTCAACAAGCCTCCTCGCATCACTCTACCCCTCGAGTCGAATCGCAGTCAAGCCCGCACACAGCCCCTACATCTCCGGAATCGCCGAAGGAATCCGAAAATGAAGTCGAAGGTCTGTCGGACATGATGTGCTCGCTCGTGACAAATAACTGTGGAGAAACAAGATACATTGGTCAGTACATGCATCAATACGAGATGGCTCAGAAATGCCAAGTTGACCTGCTATAACAGGATCGTCGTCGGGATTCTCGATATTCTCTCCGAAAGGCATACAGTGGGTGAATGAGAAAACAGGCGACTCATCGTTCCAGGACATGATCTCCTCCGCATACATCGATGACAACAAGTGGATGTATTGGAAGCCCGAGATTTTCAGCGACATATTCGCCCGTCGAGTCTTCAAGCCGTTGCCGCCTAAAGAGGAGGCCATGTCCCTCTTCCAGGACTTCTTCGCCAACTTCAATTGCATGTTTCCGCTTTTCCACGAACCAACTTTCATGCATCTAGTAGAGCGGCAATATTCCCGGGATCCGTACGAAGGCTCCGGCTGGTGGGCTAGCATCAACGTCGTGCTGGCCATCGCGCACAGAATTCGGGTGATGAATAATCTGGTGCCGCAAGAGGAAGACAAGAAGGCGTGGCTTTACCTGAAGAATGCAATGGCCGTTCTGACTGAGCTCACGATGCGGAATACGGATCTGCTGAGCGTCCAGGCCTTGCTGGGAATGGTAAGTGGCCTCCATTGAGGGCTGGCATAGATTGCTGACACGGTCCCAGTCACTCTTCTTGCAAGGTACCCCCAACCCGCAACCATCTTTCTTCCTTGTCGCGGCAGCTATTCGGCTGTCTCACAGCATAGGGTTGCATAAGCGCGGCTCTGGGTTCGGTTTGAATCCTGTAGAAGTTGAACAACGAAAAAGGGTGTTTTGGATTGCTTATTTGCTGGATAAAGAGTAAGCCGAGCCCTACGTCTTTTGACTGCGTTCGCTGACCTCCGATCCAGTTTATGTCTCCGTTCCGGCCGTCCACCTGTTCAGGACGATGATGACATGAACGTCGAATTACCGAGCGAAGACCCCCCTGACAATATTGGCAATGTGCCACTGTCAGATGGAAAGAGCAAGTTCAACCTCTTCAGGTCGATGTGCCGTTTTGCTACTATTGGGAGTCGAGTATACAAGCGACTGTATTCCGCGAAGGCATCGAAACAGTCGGATGGAGAATTGCTGAATACGATTGGAGAGCTTGACAAAGAACTCGAAGAGTGGAAGGACAGCATACCACTTGACTTTCGCCCAGAGAATGAGATTAAAGCTACTCATACACCGTTGATCCTGCATGTTGTCGTTCTCCACTTTGCCTACTACAACTGCTTGACAACGATCCACCGAATGTCTGTTCATCACGGATACTGGACAAGCCGTCTTTCGAACTATGCCATTCAAGGCCTCAATGCCAGGCCCTTGAACCCAAGGGTTTTCTTGTCGGCAGTCCTTTGCGTGACCGCTGCTCGAGCGTCCATCAATCTCATCAAATACATACCGCAAGGCGACTTTGCATGTGTCTGGTCGGTACACATCTTGTTTAGCTGCACGCTTGTTTGCTAACAGGCTCTTCTAGGTTGATACTATACTATCCGGTCTCTGCATTGGTCACCCTTTTCGCTAATATCCTCCAAAATCCGAACGACGCACGAGCGCGTTCTGATGTGAAGCTGATGAATGTGGTGGTCAATTTCCTGTCGACGCTGGTATCCGATGAATCAAACGGAAGTATCAAGCGCATGCTCACTCTCTGTGGCGAGTTTGAACGGATCGCGCAGGTAGTCCTCGACAAGGCAGAGAGGGAGTCCCACTCGAAGAAAAAGCGCAAGGCCACGTCCGACGACCCTAAGAACACGCAACAGCAACAACCATCCAATCCAGCCCAATCCCCATCGACCCCTGCCACCAGAGCATCAGATGCGCCTTCCTCCGCCCGAACCGCAGTACCCCTTGCATCGTCTTCGTTTCCGGCGGCTCAAAATAATCAGCCCACGGGCAACTCACCCACTGCAGCACGCAACTTTGTCCCCGGTCAAGCCTTCTCCGCAGCCAGTAGCGGTCTTCCCCCGAATCTTCAGGAAACTATACATAGCCTTACAAACCTGGGCCCCGACTTTGAATTGCTCAGCCCACACAATCTGGACGGCGTGCGATTTGGCGAGCAGCCACCCTTTGCGACGACCGCCGCCGACAACCCCCTCTCATCCTTCCAGCAACCATTCGTTCCACAAGATCTGTGGCAGATGCCGATGACCATCGAATGGGATTGGGCCGACATGTCGAACAATTTCCCGGTCTTTGGTGACACCAGCGGTCCCAGTGGCGGGACTCCGAACGGGTCATGATGCTAAGTACACGACATACACGGGGCGAACTGGTCACACAAAGGACGGGAGAGGGGGGCGGAACGGGTACATGCATGCGTAACGACTACTTTTGATTTGTTATCTGTCCATTTTACTTCAACCTTCCATTCATCACATACGGGAGTTTCACGGAGTTCCGACGGGCTAGGCCGAATCTGACCAGAGGCTTTCAGGGGAGGGGTGCGGGATATTATGCTTCTTGGAGGGATTAGCGTTTATTATTTTTTTATATCCATTCCCCACCATACCTAACCCCATCCATCCACAAAAAGTCCGATCATATACTTCATTACTTGGTTTGATACCTCTCCACTAATCATATTCATTTGGTTGTCTCTCTCAAACCCCTTTAACCCTGAAGTCTTGTGTCCATCTTTGTTGGAGACGTAAAATTTGACTTTTCCTTCTGGACCGTGTCTTGAAACTCTTGTGGGTATGCATGGTCTTGTACTTACCAACAGCCCTCTCTTTCCTTACCTTTCCTTAGAGAATCTTGTGATTGCTTGTGCACTAGAAGTGTATGACTGAAAGATTTTGATGTCAAGTTCAGCAGTCGCCCAATGCAGATACCGCTACGTTTTATGAGGATAGCGCGTGGGTACCCTGGATACCTGTCACCCGGTGCTGGGCCGCCTGTCCATGCTCAATTATGAATACAATATAGTATAGTCAGCAGTTCGATAATCTTCTTGTTGTTTTCTATACGAAGCTGCATACAGGAAGTGTACAGAAGGTATGGCACGGGCCAGTGCCCCCGGGATTGATGCACGCTAAATCTGGACCGGAAGGTACCCGCGTCGATCCGTTCCGGCCGAAGTCGAGATCTGACGTGGAACCCTGATTGAGTGTTTCATGAGGGAATCCACCCCCAAATTTCTCCATTTGTCTTGTTTGGCAGAGGGAATCTGGCGTCTCGGCTCATGGATAGCGCATCATTACAGTATGCTCGATGTTGGACTGACTGATAACGTCAATGTGTCTCATGAAAGCTATGCAGGTAGTACTGTACCGTACAGTGGGCTCATCTCCAAATACCAAGTTGAAAACATGACCTAAAACTCATGGGCCTGGATGATACCCATTATTTTCGGTTGTCACAGACAATAAGAAATATGTCTTTGGCTTCAGATCCCTACTCTGCCAGTTCCAAGCATATCAACGGATCAAATATATGATAGTGGTACTTGGCAATATCTATTTTTTCTCCATTTTATGCCGGACCCCTGCGCGGCCCGGAATAGCGCCATCTTGTTTCCCACTAACTTTAGGCGTCAGTTACCAATTTCGTCCATCGGATCACGTGGTATCGACCAGGTCCGTCTCCTTTCTCTTCTCCCAACGCAATGAAGTAAATGTCGAAGGAATCACTTCTTCGGCCAATGTGGACAGACATGGTTCGATTAAAACGCTCGCATTTTTTGGCAACTGCAGTTGTTTTCCACTTGCTCTATGTATATTCTGATCTTCGACATTTAGTTCGTGAGTCCCGTTGGCGGGGGCGTGAAGGCCCACCGCGTCCAGGTTTCTCCTCTTGCTCAAAGCGTCGTGCTCTTTGTCGGTAGGGGAAACTCTCCCCATTTCTCCGTCCCCTTCAGTATGAAAGATCGACGGTTCTAATTCTATATAATGGTGGATGTACTCCAGCTGACGGTCTCCGTGCGGACAAGACCTTTCAACAATTCCCCGACCCGTCCCCAGACGCCCCCACAGATGAGTCGGCTCAGGTACCACGCCACTTAGCTCCCTTTCTGCGCTCACGAGTGTTGAAACATGGTACCTTCGGAGTCTCTCATACACGAGTACCGACCGAATCGCGCCCAGGCCATGTGGCCCTTGTCGCAGGCCTCTACGAAGACGTCTCCGCTGTGACCACGGGCTGGAAGCTGAACCCAGTGGGCTTCGATAGCGTGCTGAACCGCAGCCGACATGCGTGGAGCTGGGACATTCCGGACATCCTGCCGATGTTCGCGCAGGGGGGCCGCACCAGGCCGCGTGGATACAGACATGTACAGCGCCGAGGCGGAAGATTACAGCAAGGACGCCACCGAGCTAGATATCTGGGTCTTCGACCGCGTGAAGCGCTTCTTCCATTCCGCCACCGAAGACCCAAGCTTGGAGACTGCCCTGGGACAAGATCAGAACATCTTCTTTCTCCATCTGCTCGGACTGGACACTCCGGCCACTCTTTTCGACCCTACTCGTGCGAATATCTGCATAATCTCCAGGTTGTCAACAACGGCGTGCGAGAGATTTGCGATGAATTTCAGGCTTTTTTTGGAGACGACCAGACGGCTTTTGTTTTTACCGCGGGGCCATGGGATGAGCGACTTGGGCAGCCACGGGGATGGACACCCAGACAATACCCGGACGCCCCTCATCGCGCGGGGCACTGGCGTGGCTCGTCCCAAGGCAGGGCCCCTGGGCAACGTGGCGGCTGGACACGATGAGTTTTCTGCCGATTGGCACCTGGATCATGTGCAGAGACATGATGTCGCCCAGGCTGATATTGCGGCGCTGATGGCATATCTGGCGGGGATTCTGTTTCCCGTTAACTCGGTCGGACGCCTTCCGTTGCCTTATCTCAATGCATACGAGTCCAGTCAGGCGGAAACGATGTTGGTTAATGCGCTGGAGATCTTGGAGATGTATCGAGTTCGAGAAAGTCGTATGATGGCCTCGAAGCTCTGGTACGTGCCCTTTCCGGCACTCAGTCACGACCAAGATCCAGAACAAGAAGAAAGAATTGCTCGAATCCGTAATGCGATCCGTCAGGGGCATTCTCGGGGGGGGGGGGGGGGGGGAGGGCGATTAAAGGCTGTGAGGATCTGATCGACCTGTCTCTTCAGGGCTTGCGATACCTACAGACCTATGATTGGCTCTTTCTTCGAGCCCTAACTAGCGTTGGATATCTGGGTTGGATGGCCTTCGCTCTCATGAACGCGCTCAGCCACTTTGACGTACCAAGCGCGGATAGTAGTCTTCCCCCAAGACGTTCTACTGGCCGCCTCACAGTGATGGGATTTGTCAGTCTTGCTCTTCTGATGAGACTGTATTCGCAGAAGTCTCCGATGCAATATTTTGAGTACGCTGTATTCCCGGTTCTATTCTGGGCTGAGGTATGGGCCTGTCAAGATACCTGGACCCAGACCATCAGGGCACTTCCCAAGCGGATATCCGCCAGCAACGTGACTGCAGATGTGGCCGGTGTGCTGCTCTTGGGCCTGCTCTTAGAGGCGATCGTAAGTTTCGGTACCCTGCTCGTGATGCACCTTATGTTTACCTAGCAACAGGTTCAAAGTTATTATGATCGCAGGATTTCCACATTCATCTACATTGTGGCCCGCTATCTATGGCATCGAATTTATTCATGTCAATCGTCTCGTATGTTTGGCGTGGGCAGTCCAATGTGGTGCTATGAGCATTTTCACCCTTCTTCCGGCCATGAAAACGGAGGAACTACTTTGATGTATGTTCGGCCCTGCTATATCGCACACGGATTGAGATGGCTGTCAAATAACATATCAGATAGCACTCTGGGTGGGCGCCTCATGTTTTCCTGCGGTGTCTTGTACATCATCTTCGAGCCGACAATGCATCGAGCAACCCCAGGAAATGTGGTCGAGATTGACCGGTCAGGGAGATTGCTTCTGATGTTCCAGGTCGGTTCAGTACCTCTGGCTATATATATGACGCGGTCCGCAGCGGCCTCCCTGCAGTCTAGAGAAGGACTCCCTTGTCTGACACAGATCCTAGGATGGACAATACTCGGTCAGTACACCAATCCTGAGGCATAACAGGGATTAATCTTACCGAACAGCGACGTCCCTTATCCGCCCACTCTTCGCTCTTCGGACCAGATGCCACCAGATCTATCTACTAGTGGCCCTCTTCTTCACATTCGCCCCACTATTCATCATCCTCACTATCTCCCTACGAGGGCCTCTTCTACTGCTGCCTGAGCAGCACGCTCTTCACCTGGGTACAACTGGGGGCTAAAGTCTCCGGCTACCACCAAGAGCAGCCCGCAACCCCCCCTGTTCTGGTTTGCCTGGCGGTCTCGCTCGGGAACCGAAGGTTCCGAAGGTGGTGGTGGTGGTGGTGGTGGTGGTTGTTGTTGTTGTTGTTGTTGTTGATTAAGCCCCTTCAGCATGGCCCGGATCAAAGGCGTTGCCCAGCGTCCAGATCAAATCACAGCGGCAACGATGGCAGTGCCGGGAGCCAATATACCTTTGAGGATAACGCCAGTTCAGCCATCCAGCTGCTTGCGAATAATGTAGTCAAGTATAAGCCCTGGCAATGCCATCGCGAGGTATTGGTGATATAAACTGGTTTACCCTAAATCACAGCCGGAGTTAAGGCGGGCAAGCACTGTTTACCTCCAGCTCTTCCTGCACCGATAATGTCATACGGGCAGGTAGCTATGCAGTAGTGGCTGCAATGGAGGCTGGGTGGGGTCATGGAACAGAAGCCAGTCACTCCAGTGTGCTCAGTGAACAAAAAAGCAGCACGAAGTTCGACGTGACGCGGAAGGGAAAGTTACGGGATTTCCGCAGCAATCCCAGATCGATACTCAGGAGAGATCATACTGTAACTTACCTACCGCTTATCGTAGTGATCGCATCAAATCACAATATACCATTGGTAAGAACCAGTGCTAGTGGCTGTCTACATTATACGAACAGATTCAAATCATTGACTCAACGAGGTTGATTGATATAGTTCAGGTTAAGGTTAAGATAAGATTTCCCTTATACAAACAGAAAAGGAAAGAGAAAGAAGCAGAACATGAAGTGGTAGAACCAATTCGTCCCGTCTGCCCCATTCTTCCAGGCAAAATGAGGTGGAGTCGGTCGATACCGTGAAACTCGACGGACTAAAGATGGATAGCAGATGACCGGTCGCCGTTGGAGTGGGCGTGCATTGGGTTTGATCACCCTGGATGTGGATCAGACCAGAACACTTTCCGTCAAGTCTGAAGAACACAACAACCCCCAAATGCAAAGGTTGAAGTACAACAAGATGCGTGTTTGCAGTTGCTTCGAGAGAATTTCTCCCCGCATGGGCTCCCGCAAGGGCTAAAAAGTACAGTGGACAATTCACAAAAAAACAAGAAAAACATATGAAATTGGTATAGGTGGAGTAGTCAGTGGGTGTGGTAAGAGTGGTAGCGGCAGACAATCCAGTCACAGCCGGCGCTGGGGTTATACAAATAGATATAGAAAATCTGCAATACATGCAAAAGGGGTGTTCCAACTCCAACACGAGACATAGAATATCAACATTTACAAAAAGTCACGCAATCTCGTACATGTCATCAGGGTGATGTGGTGGATGGCTGTCGGTGCAGCGGTTCGGCGGGAGGATAGAAGGAGGGAGATCGGATAGGAGAGCGATGGGTGAAAGGAGTGTGAAGGCGGGTCAGGAGGCTTCCATCTATTCTTCCATTCGGCCGAAGATGCCATCGTCGTCGTCGTCCGCCTGGGCTGGCCGACTGCTGAAATCAACGTCGGCGTTGCGGGTTTGTCGCTTGGCACGGTCGGTTGCTGCACCACCCGTTCGGACTTCGCGCTCATCGGAGACCTTGTAAGACAGCGACGGGTTATAAGAAAGAGAGAGGAAGAGGTTGGAAGTGGTGTTCGAGAAGGCCGAGTTGGCAAGGCCTGCGTTGGACTGGTCTAAGCTGTGGCTCTGACTGTCCGAGGGACTGCGTTGGTCGAGCAATCGAGTCGGGAGGGATGGCACTGGAGGCACGCTAGGAGATAGCGGCACCGGCCCCATGCGAGGGGTGCCAAAATTGCACAGACCAATCGCGGCTGCCAGATCAGCCTCGTCGTCCTCGTGCAACTTGGCTTCCGCAGTTGAAGGGCGGGTGTCAATGCTCGATTGCCGCATGTGAGAAAATGCTGGAGATGCCCAGGGAGCGCTGCTCGTGAACGAGCTTGAGGGGCCGGACTGGTATGAGTGAGAGAAGAGACCCGAAGCATTGCTGACGCTGAATCGCTTGTCGGCCGTGGGTTCCATAGCCATGTCTTCATCGTCGTCCTCGTCCTCGTCCATTGGAGGCGGGGTCGTCTCCGCGGAGCTGAGACCCTCTCGAAGCTCCGACGATGCGTCCGGTGAGGACGACGAGATCTCCGAGTCGGCTTCGGCGTTCTCATCGGAATCCTCCTGAGTCATCGTAACCAGCACAGAGGCGGCTTCCAGCAGTTGCACCTGTTGGTGCTTAGAGATCAAAAGTTTCGAAGTGATGGCCCACGCAGGGTCATGTTCCCACCTGTATATCCAATAAACGTCAATTTACTGCGATCCACCAGGATGAGGAGAGAGTTGGAGAGAGCGGAATGACCACGAAGGCGACCTGAGGCAGAGCCGACATGGCGCATTTGCTCCGGACCGAGCCCGATGGCCGGATGGCATGGGGGGAGGATACACACATATGCTTGGACAAGCAACTGCCATGCTTATACCCTTTCCCGCAACGCTCGCAGCGAAGCTCGGCCATGGATCGCTTTCCCTCGGGTTTGACCAGGTGGGCACCCTCGCTGGCCCGGCGGTTGCGGTTCTTGGTGGTGACGGGCTTGGCCGCTGGGTCACTGGGATCCGAGGAATCTGGCGCGGTGTTTTCGGAGATGGTTGCGGGGGGTACGATGGGGGTGGTCTGGGAAGGGGAGGTTTTGCGAGCGACCGGGGGTTCCTGGCTGGGGCTGTTCATGCTGCGAGACAGATAAGAGCCGAAGCCGGAGGGGGCTCCGACCGAGCTGGACTCCCAGCCCTTCCGACTCCCACGGCGGTGTGCGGGCATCGGAATTCCCATGGAATCGCCCGATTCTTTCAAGGATGCAGCGACCGCAGCAGCGGCCGCATTAGCAGCAGCAGCAGTGGTGACACTCTTGCGACGAGTCACCCGGTGATTGGCGTTGACCGCACCGAGCGAGATGGAGTGGGAGTGGTGACGGGAGTTGGATTGAGGAAGAGGGCGAGAAAGGGACAATTCCTATTTTATGGAAGATCGGAGTTGTTAGTCGGACATATTGTCTGGGGGAGTGGATTCAATAGCGCTGACTGTCCGCAGAGCACGCCATCCACGGGGAAAGTCCAGGGGAAAGAAAAGACAGCACGTTACCTTGAAGGAGGCCATGTTTAGTACGTGGACTGTCGGGCTGTCAATCCCGTGCAGTCCAGAGGTAGTAGTATTGACTGGCACCAGAGAGGAATTCTGGGTGGTATGCTTAAGCGGAGGTGGTGGAGGGATCGTAGTCGAGTAGTAGAGAAGTAGTGAGGAGGCGGGAGGTGGAGGGAGGAAAATGAGAAATAAATTGAAAGAGAAGTGAGGCAAAGAAATTCAGCTGGCGGGCAAAATCCAGGGATACGAGCGGCAGAGCAGGTACCTGTCAGGCTAAGCACGAGCAAGGTTCAGGGCCAACCACAAGAGAGTGCGTGAGTGATTTAACGGGGCAATTGGGAGCGGGCGTCAATTGGGATGATTAGGAGGAGGATGGATGTAAAGAAGGGGAAGGGAGAGAGAAAAAGGAAGCGTTGTAGAAGAAGAGGAGAAAGAGGCAGAGGCAGAGAGGGGAAATCGAAAGTAAGAGGGGAAAAGGTCGAAGGGAGAGGGAGAGGAGAGAGAGAGAGCAAGAGGGACAAAAAAGGGAAAAAGAAATAATAATAATCGAAATAAGAATAATCAAAATAATAATCAAAATAAAATAAAAGAGGAGATCAGACTAAGTTACTGTAAGTCAACCAAGTAAAGTTAGGGAACAGAAAAGGTGTTAAGCAGCAGCTGCAGGAAAGAGAGAGCGAGAAAGACCAGAGGAATGAATGAATAGAACAAGTGAATGAATGGATTGGATGGCTGCACGAGGTTCAGTCTAGTACGATTACTGCTGATAATACTGATAGTAGGAGAGATTCGGCGATAGTTTAGTTTAGTTAATTACATTGCATCAGTCATCAATACCCAGGGAATTAATTGCTAAATTTATTTTTATTGTTAAAGAGAGGGGGAATTATTGTTAGATACTAGTCTAGTAAGTATACTACAGATAGGGACCTTTTATCTACGGAGTAGGTAGTCTAGTGACTACAGTTTTGCGGGGGGGAGGGTTTTTTTTTTTTTTTTTTTTTCTCCTTCAATTCTACTGATGTTGTCGATTCATCTTCCTCACTGTCTCTCTCTCTTCCCCTCTTAAATCCCCCCTCTTCTAATGTATGTATTTTGGTTTCCGTCCCCCATGCAATTCAAAACGAAATAGGCAAAACCGCGAGAGAGGATTGGTTGTAAATGACTGGATTGGGTTTTTGCTAGTAAAGCAGCAATGCGGGGGTCGGGCGATCCGCTCTGGATTCGACTCAATTACCGTCGAAAAACCAAAAATTCCTAAAGCTGTTTGCCCACGCGGGTCTTTTCCCCAGGCAAAAGCAAAGCAGAGCAGATTACTCCGTAAAGCAGAGCATCTTTTCTTCTTGGGTTGATTCTGGAAAAGACCGAAACTTACCCCCTCTCCAACCCATTCAACGAGAAAACCAGCGAACACAGAACACCGCGAAACAAACAAATTAATTTTCAAGGGCAGTCAGGGCTGGGCCGGTTCCTGACTAACAAACCAGCAACAGCAGACGGAGCAGGAGCAGCGAAAACCAGGCAGTTCTGGGATGTTATTTGCTCCACTCGCATCTGCCTTCCGAGAAGTGGAATCGTGGATGATATCAGCCAGTGCCCGGATTTCAGAATGATTGGGTCCAGACAAAGAAGATTTCCCCAAGTTTCAGTAAGAAGAAAAAAAAAAAAAAAAAAAAGTTGAAGTTGACACTCCCATAATTTTCTGAGAATCTCACTCTTGTAGTGTTTTGACATGACTCCGCAGCAGAGTTATTGTTGTGGTGATGGTGGTTGTTTTTGTTGGATGCGGAGAAAGGCCCAGCTCCGGTCATCTGCGAGGCTACTAAGGACAGTACGTTGTGAGGACCCATCAGCTGGTGCTTCTGCAATGGGAAGCTGGCCAAATCCTCCGGGCCTCCTCCCTCCTCTCCTCCGTCCGGTTCATCCATTTCTCATTCTTTGTTTCTCTTCACAAAGAACCATCGGGAGATTGAATAAGGATCATGGAAATGATTCAGAAATACATGTAACAAAAGAAAAAAAAAAAAAGTCAAAGAAGAAAGTCCTTTTGAGAAGGGATCTCATTGTGCCACGAACAATCATTGATGGGCCCGGACACAGTGTGTAACTTGCTTACGACTGGCGACTTGCTGCAACTTCCCAAAAATCACTCAGGCAGATCGGGGCCTCCCGCCCCCGTGGCCATCGATAGCCAGCCATGACCATACCGTAATTACGCCACCCTTCATCGACCGGTCTAGGGCCTGGAATAGGGTGGGGAGCATGATGTCATTTCCACCAGCTGACCGTACTGTACGGGGCTTGGAGAGAGGGGCCGGGGGAAGCGCCCGCGCCGGGTGAGTTCGGTACCGTCACGGTAACTGGTATGTGGTGGTACGGTACGCTTGGTCGGTACAATACTGTACGAACTGCCACTGGGAGGGGGCAGCGAACCCGACCTTATCTCCAGTCAAGCACGCAAGCAAGTTTAAACTCAACTCGTCTCCTCTCCTCTCACCAGGTGTTCGTGGGTTACGAAGTGTGTAAGTTGCTCAGTCGATCAATCAATCCTTCTGGATACCCCGTGACATGTCTTCACCCCAACTTGAATATTAAAAAGTGGTGGACCTACCTCCCTTCCGACTACGTTGAATTCTGACCACTTCTCAAACCCATGGTGGACTCTGAGTCTCCCTGATCTGCTAACCAGCTGGACCGGCAGACAGACAGACAACAGACAACAGACAGACAGTCTGGGGCCCTCAAGTGGAGTCGCCCATCACATCACCCTTTCCCCTACTCCTCTTTTTATAAGTATCCATCCCTTAACCCTTTCCCTATCGATGGATCATCCTACGTCACGATCGCTGAGCCTGACCGTCGGACTTGTCTGACTGCTGACCTGGCGAAAATAAATCCCCCCCTCCCTTTCCCCCCCCTTCACTGTCGTCCCTGATCGACGAAGGATTGCCAGGCACGCGGACATCGGAATTTGAACCGAACCGGGTTTTGCAAGAAAAAAAAAATACCAAGAGCATGCCATGTGTTGTTGCCCATCACACACACAAAAAAAAGAAAAAAAACTGGATTGCCTAGCGGTCAGCACTCATGAAATTCTCGTTGAAGAACTGCTGCCCAGTTTGGGGGGAGAAACAAAAAAAAAGAATCCCAAATCCGGGATGACGTTGTGCACATTCCAGAGGGATCCACTTCGACCTCACTTCTGCCGGAAGGTCCATCATCGCACAATCCCTTTTCCTGCTGCTGCTGCTGCAACAACAATGGGCACGGCTGAGAAAACAGAGGGTAAAATAACTGGGAGAGACAGGTTTCAGAAAAATCCGAGAAGAATTGCTGTGTTGGTCTGATGCAATTGCGCCTCTGCGCCAAGAGCGTATTTGATGCAGTTGTTGCTGCTGTTGCTGCTGTTGCTGCTGATACTGTGGACAGTGTGGAGTCCTAGGTTCCAGGATCGAAGAAAGGTAGCTCACAAACAAGCCAGGCCAAACAATTGACCGTCAACAAGTCAGGCAGAACGTTCGGCCAAAATACTTTCGACGAGGATCTGCAGCCGCAGCGGTGGTCCGATTGATTGAAGAGACCGACCACCTGTCAACCGCCCATTCAGCACAAAATCTCCCGACAGTTGGTTGCCCTGTCGGCAATTCATCTTTCAGATTCGTTTGCTTTGCATAACGCCATGCTAGAAACGAGATTCTGAACATCGCTGGCCACCATTTTTTTTTTCTTGCCCATAGTCTTGCCCCCAATCGTAAGATAAGCTTCTGGGTGATAGCCCTGATTAAAGAAAGGCATTAAGGATGGCATTTCTTCCTATTGAGGAAAATCAATCAATTACGGAGTAACCAGGGCCACGCGTGGCGTTCTGGTGGGTACAACAGCGCGTGGACCTGTGTAAATGTTTCTTTCTCACAGAGATAACCAACATCTATGCCACAGCGCATATGTGTATAGTATACAAAGGATGATACACTTATCCCGGGGCTCTTCGCTCTACGACCACCGAGATGTTCCCTCCCCCCACTTCACCACTTTCACCACTTCAACTCCCCACGTCCCAAACCTCAAGAAAAATGAGATGGCATACTCTAAGGCATATTCTCTACTCATACTCACAGAAAACCAAGATCTAAGCAACCACCCGCTGGAAACAAACCGTACAGACACCCTGCCCTTCCCTGCCCCCGAAGCGAAACCTGGGATACTCGACCCTGCCCCAAACCACCAACCTATCCTTCTGCCCATCATCGGCAGAAGCAGTAAACCACTCCACCAACTCCTCCTCCGTCCAGTTACAACTCGTCACCACGAGGAACCCGCCGGGACGCACCAACCCCCTGGCGATCCCGGGGTACCGTTCACAAACCCGCCTCTGCACCATCTTTCCCCCCTTCCTCTCTTGACCTTCACCCTCAGTCCCCGGAGCACTCTCCCCCTCCCCCGAAGAGCCAGAGACCACCTCTGCCGACAAAGAAACAGCATCAAACGTCCCCTTGTCCAACACAATATCAAAGCCCCGGCGCTCGTACGGGAACCACGCCAGCCCTTCCGCCACCGGCGACGCAGAGGAGGAGAGGATATCCCACTCCTCGAAGCGAATATTCGTCCCCTCCCCTCCCCCCTCCCCCTCATCCTCCGACTCCTCATCCTCCGAATCAGAAAGATAAGCGCGATGGATCCGCAACGCCTGCAACCGCCGCGCGAGCTCCACACTCTGCGCCGAATAATCCACGCCGACCATGGCGCCCCGGAAGCCGCCGCGTTTCCGGAGCAGCGCTAGCATGCTGCCGTTGCCGGTGCCGAGGTCGAGGATGGAGGGCTGCGGGAGCTGCGCTTCTTCGCCTTCCGCTGCATGTCCGGGGAGGGGTTCCGTGTGGCACGGCGCGAGGGGAAAGGTCTCGTCGGTGAGGAAATCCAAGACTTTTTCGGGGGCGTTGTGTTCCGAGAACCAGGAGGTGCCGGGGTCGGAGTCGTCGTCTACGTCGTCTTCGGAGTCTTCTTCGGCTTCTTCATCGGGGGAAGTAGACGGGGGCTGCTGGGGGCTGGGTTTGTTGGTCGAGGAAGACGCGATGGGAGCGGGTTGTTTGGAGGAGAGGTGGGAGAGGGTGCGGGCGTAGTAGCTTTCCCAGCTATTCCATTATCAGTCGTTGCGTTCTCTTTTCTCGCATTCTCAGAATGGGGGGGGAAGGGGGGGGGGGGGACGTGAAAAAAAAAAAAAAAAAAAAAAAAAAACAAAAGAAAAGAAAAGAAAAAAGAAAACGACAGAAAAAAATAAGAGGGGTAGCGGGGTAGAAACAGTCGTTCTAACTTACTAGTCCTTGGTGCCGAGTTCACTCGGTTCTAAATATGTGGGGTGTTGGTCGGTCATGATAGACTTGTGCTGACCCTTCTCCGTGGGCAATGGGCAATGGGCAATGGCCGTGATGGTGTCCTGGTTGTTGTTCCGGAGTGGGAAGTGGATGGTTGGAGGGTCGACAAAAAATTGCCTTATCCGCCAACTTCTGGAGTTCTCCCCGGATCCCGAGACTGATCCGTGCGCTAACTACATACAAACACAGCACGAACTACTTCCTGAATATTACTGGGCTTTATACTACGACACAACTATACAGACTTCTTCTCGCTACAACGCGACTGTCACATTTCACCAGCAAACCAATAAGCCTCGGGTATTCTGCAGCTGGATGCCACATGCCTGCCACTAACCAGATAAAGAAATGAGAATAGTATTACAAGTTATCAGGCACGTCACGATTCCTCGCCGCCCTTTATCTTTTATAACACCTCGACGCCGCTTGTCCAGGAAGCATGCACAATGTTGAGCCCACGGCCTTCAATGCAAATGATAGAGAAATGAACGAAATAACGACCGTAAAGCCCGCTTTGGTCATCAACTCATCAATTAGATGAAACAGGTAATGAACGTGGATGGGAAGAAAAGAAAGGAATGGAGGTGCCACAACGGCCTGAGTGAAGATGTAAAGGAATGTTGACCTGACGGTCGGGTCAGAATGAAGTGGTGGTAGTCATGGAATCATTTCGCAGACCGGTGCCCAATGGCCAGTCCAATCGAAGACATTATGGCAGAATTACAGAAATTCATCAATATTTCTCATAATCAACCTCTCATTCCCGGGTGGCGGAGACCGCGGATCCGCTATCCGCGATCGGAACCGCAGTCCGTTGAGGCCATCATCCTCGAGGACATCGGAGACCGATCGCGAGATAGGCGCGGCCATGAAGTCCGTCGTCCTCGGTGAGAAGAGAGCATTGGATTCCTCAGACCCTTCCCGCACGAACATATCGGTCTTAGCCAACGAGTACGGTCCGGCTTCGGAATGCCATGAGGGTGGTGCCGGTTTGGCAGGTGTGATATCGCTTGTCAACCCGGTATGGAAGCTCTGGCGTAAAGGCAATGGCCGGGGTGAGATGCTTCGTTTGTGCGAAAGAGACTTCGTAAATCCAAGACTCTCAATTGACACGGGCGTGGTCTGGTTGGTGGAGGGCACCGACAAAGAGCTCATCGATGCTTGTGACATAGCATTGGACGAATGGGGTTCAACATCGGAGTATACACTCTCATTGCCAGGAATACAGGTCTCGACCGACTCTCGTTTATCGGCTCGTGAGCGCCGCTGTTCACTGTCCTTTGGTGAGCTTTCGCCGAACCACTCTTCAGGAGCAGCTTTCGACAAACCCCCGCGGAGGAGGCGGGAGCGGAAATCCGTCAGCTGATAAATGAGACTCATATTAGGGCCAACCCAGCGGCTGCGCTCCTTCACAATCTCGTACATCGAGTTGAAATCCAAGTCTCGGTTCTTGAAAAGACCATAGGCGATCACCAACGAGGCTGATCGACTGGCGCCGAGCTGGCAATGCACAAGGACTTTCTTTCCATCTGCGACGCGGGAGTCGATCAGCTCGCATAGTGGGTATAGATCCTCCAGGATCTCCGAGTTATGATCCCAGCCGACGTGGACATATTCCGGTCCGGCTGCTTCATGTTTTGGAGTCGCCGGCAGCGACGCCTTACTTGGGGGATACTCAAATGCGGATTTGAATGATGTTTCCGAGGCGGCGGTCCATGGCTCCGCAATAGAAAGGCGCTTGGGACTGACGGACCCATTGCGCAGAGCACTCACCACAGTTTCGGTGTTGGCGCTGGCCTTAGTAAACGGGTTTGCGACCTCCTTAGCCACATTCACAACAACATCAAACTGGGATGCCTCTTGCGCAGTCGGTTCCAAGTAGAGAAAAACGCCAGAGTCATAGATTTGAATGGGCCCATTGGGGTAGCCTCGCTCGCTACGCCGCGTCGATTCTCTAGAGTCCAGATGGTCGTCCTCCTCCTTCAGCTCATGTAACACCCCGCCAGAAGCGGAATCCTCATCCTCTACAGTCTGTAGGGGTGACAGGTTGCTCTCCGACGTAGCCGAGGGTCGCCGGGCGCCATGATGCGTCATGGGTCGAGGTAGCTGCATGCCACCCTTGGGACCGAAAGAAGGAGAAAAGACAGAGGTCAGGGAAGGCGACGATTCGGTATGGCGCAATGAGTGCGGGGTTGGAGGAACAAGCTCGGTGATGTTGTTGGAAAATGACCTGTCGAATCCGGGCGTGCGGATGGTCAAGTTTGCTGGTTTGCGGCGCATACCCTTCAGAGGCATGTGCACAGGAGACGGGGGAGCGGAGAGATGGTGTGAGGTCCCTTCGACCATAGATGCTGTTGCGATGGGTGGGCGCGACTGGGATGGCGGCGGCATCCTCAGTGAGAGGTTTTTGAGGTTTCGTGCCCGCCTGCCTGGGGAATCGGGTCGTGGAAGGCTGGCGCCATCTGAAGCCGGTTGGGAAAGGCTGTTAGTCGACGAAGACTGGCTTTCGAAGTTTCGCGCCGGGGGCATGGTGAATTTGTTGTTGAACGCCAATGGCATGGATGAGGGAGATTCGGGCGAGGAGCTCGGAGATGTATCCGCCACAGATGGGGAGTCGAATGTTGAGATGGTAGTAGTGGGCGAAGAGTCGGCGGAACCTGATGTCACGGAGGAAATACTCGCACGATGTTGGATAGGAAAGGGACGGCGAGTCGATGTATTGATGGTGACATTGGTGGGCAGACGGAGCGGTTTGAGTGCTGTGTTCCGCGCCTCCTTCTCGGGGAAATCAAGCGTGCGCCCGCCAAAAACCGACATGAAGGAGGGAAACGAGTCCGGAAGTGTTGGAGCGCTGGTCTGCACCGGCATGATTGTTTCTAAGGTTGGTGAGATACACCTACGTTTGAAAGGGATCGTTGCCCTTTCCGGATCGCAGCTGTAGTGAAGAGTCGGCGCGAAGACTGGGGCACAGTTGTTGTGGCCAGCTCCAAGAAAACAAGGTAGAGTCGCACTTGCTACCAGCGCAAATGACCTTTTGTTTAGACAATCAGCTTCCATGTTTCAGCGTCAGTTGTTGGTTTTCGGCAGTAGAAGAAAGCACAGCTGCAAGGAGAGTGAAACCGGTTCGAGGATCGGCCAGCTTCGTGAAATGAAAACAACAGAGCTAGTAAGGTCTGTAGAAGCAACAAAGGAGAGAACAGGATCGCATATGCAAGCAGAAGCAGAGATTCGCAGTTGATATCCTAAATGGAGTCCGATATCAGGAACATACCAAGGAATGCTGCAAGAGAAGGATATCCTCTTGGGATCAGTCAGTAAAGTGTTCGAGGTGAAGGATTGAAGATTGAGAGATCTCAAATGAGAAGCAGCGACGAGAACATGAAGTTCAAATGAAGGAGAGAAAAAGAAGCTTTAGGTATAGTTCTTCATGAAAGAGATTTGGGAAGTAAGCGAATATGCGACTAGGGTTTGGGGGGGAAGGGAGGATTGCCGCCCGGGGAGAGTAACAAAGTGGGCAGTCGTTCCTCCGGGGAATGACGACAGAAAACGTGGGTGGGATTGCTCTCAGTCGCAAACGACTGCCCACCACCACTCAAAGGAACGGCACGGACAAGTCGCAATGCCAGGCAGGCAGGTGGAAAGGGTCCCTGCGTCAAGGGAAGAGGGGAGGGGTGTGGGAACTGGGAGGGGGAAGGGGGGGTTGTTCAACAAGAGGGGGGAAAGAAGAAGAAAGAACAGAAGGGAGGAAGAGGAAGTAAGTAAGTAGGAAGAGAAGATTCGGAGGGAGAAGGAAGGAAGAAGGGAAAAAATGAGTGTGAGAGAGAGTAATTGGAGAGTGACAGAGTGAGAAACAAGCCTCTGGGCTCAATGTACTCCGACCGTCTGTCTCAGCAAGACTCGCTGGCACAGAGCAAATTAAAAGAATAAAAAAAAAATAAAAAATGATAATAATAATAATAAAAATGAAGGACTAAGAATAGCGATTCATTTGGGAAAAGGGCAACGAGCGAATAAGAGAGGGAGGGGCGAGTAAAGTGAAAGTGAGTGCAGTAAGTGAGTGAGCAAGCAAGTGAGTTGAATGGGCGAGTGGAGATCCAACCGGCCGTGTGTTGCTGACAGCACGCCAATCAGTGGTAATGACGAGGGAGTGGAGAAGATGTTCTGCGTTCTTCCTGAGCTTCCCATGGGCTGCAGCTCTAAATTTAGCCGCCCGGGTTGGTTCCCTCGCGATGGAATGTGCATATCATGGGCGCCAACTTCTGCCTCTTTCCCCTTCCCCAACAACTACCCCGAAGGTGGCATATCTTGGCCCCAAATGTTGGGTTTGGATGAGAAGGAGAGAGGAAGAGAGGGAGAGAGAAAGTAAAAGAAAAAGCAAATAAACCCAGAGACTCATCTCTCAAGTATTGAACAGGGGTTGAGGGGAAAGAGAGAGAGAGAGAGAGAGAAGAATCCCAAAGGGAACAGACAGATTGTGGAATGCCTCAATCCCATAGTCCGTTGCAATAGTGACACTGGCATCTCACTTTGCCGGGCACAACCAACCAATCCTTTTTAGGTTGGAGCTTCCAACTGGTCTGGCCTTTTCCCTTTTGGTCTTCCCCTCTCATGCCCTTTCGGGTCTCCCATTACCCATAGTGGTGGTGCAAGTGTCAAATCCAATAAGAGAGATGAGAGATGAGATGAAGAAAAAACAAAATAATAACAAAAAAGGCGAATAAGAGAAAAGTCAAATGGTATTCCCCACAAAAGGGTACCGTGGGCGAGGCGGATATAGAATGATTGGTGGGCAGAGCAAAGCATCAAAGAGAAAGCAAAGGGAGAGAGGGGGGGGCAAGGCATAGAATGGATGGAGCTAGTAGTCCACACTCCACGGGAGAGACATCAGGCAAAGAAAAAGCATGAAACGATAAACCAGAACACTAGATCCAAATAAACCACACACAAGACAGAACATACCTATCAAGCTGCTTCCTCCTGAGAAATAAGATAAAAGCACCCCTTGGATCTTTGACAGGTGCCAGACCAGGCTGGTGGTGGTCAGGTCCGGATCGGTACCACCTAAGGGCAATACTAGGTCTGAGCTGCGAGGT